GCTTTGTATGAATGTGAGTTTTCCTCCATCTTGATATGGTGTGGAGAGTGAGTGAGGGGTTGAGTGGCAAGGGGATTGGGGAGATGCTAACTGGCGAGCATGACAGCTCTATCGCCCAAACTGCGCGCCTTCCTGGAGACGCTCGAGGCCAAGCATAGCGGGCTGGAGCAGGCGGAGAAAGCCCTGCGGACGAGTGGATGTCTCCGGAGGGATCCTATCGAGACTAATGTGAGTGTTCAAGCCTCCGGAACTCTAGGTAACAAAAGTACTGTCCAATGGCTAATTCGTGGGTCAATGCCAGCACCCCGTAGTCCGCACGCATCCAGTGACCGGCTGGAAGACGCTGTACGTCAACGAGAACTTCACCAAGGAGATTGTCGGCCTCGAGAAGCGCATCGGCGATGGCATTCTGGATAACCTCTATCGCACCGTGGCGGAGGGGTACGAGTTCCAGGTGCGCTGGAAGTGGTCCAAGAACGCGGTGGCCATCTGGGATAATCGCGCCACTTTTCATACGGGGATTTTCGATTACTGTGAGTCATTCTGCTGTCGCTGCTATCGCGTGGTGAATCTGTTAGATGGAGGAGTGGACGAGAGTGCTAATGTTCTGCAACTGATAGTTCCCCATCTTCGGCATGGGCTGCGGGTTGCGCCGCAGGCTGAGACGCCGTATTTCGATCCCAAGTCCAAGACCAGGAAGGAGGCGCTTGCGGAGGAGAAGGGCAAGAAGGCGTGATTGGAGAGGACACTGAGAGTATACGTGGGCTGTGCAAACAGGATTTAGTCCGTGGTGTGGTCGGTAGAATACAAAAATACAATTGCTTTTCTTTCATTGACATCAGATCACGTACTGCAATATCCAACGAGAAATGTCTTTATCAAGTTAGTCCATGTGAAGCTCATTCGCCTAAACCTGCAGACCACCCCAGCTGCAGGCACCACTTCCCCTAGTCCAACCATTCCACCGTAGGTAATATAGCTGCAGGATTGTTTAAATTAAACCATGATCACGTCAATCTTCTGCAGTCCCTCGCCATGCTCCTCTGCCCCTGGTCCTGAAGACACGCTTCAGGTATAAAAGGGCATCCATAACCCCTAAAGTCCTACCTCCAGACAAGCACCAGCATCATCACAATGCTTCTTCTCTCCTCCCTAGTCCTCGCTGGCCTAGCAGCCGGCCAGCTGATCGGCCCCGTGGGTCCCACCACCGACCTCTCCCTCAAGACCCACGAGTGCAGCATCCTCGACTACGGCGCCGTCGCCGACAACAGCACCGACATCGCCACCGCGCTCGAGACCACCTTCACCGAGTGCGTGCTCCCCAACCCGGGCAGTCGACTGATCGTCCCCGAGGGGAACTATCTGATCGAGCGCGGGGTGGTGCTCAGCAACGCGACCAACTGGGCGTTCCAGCTGGATGGGCTAATCACCGCCGCCTACGGGGGCAACTGGACCATTGAACGTGCGTTGATCCTCCAGGGCTATGCCGGCGTGGACGTGCTCAATTCCACCATCAACGGTGAGGGTGACCAGAAGTTCTTGCTAGATGTGCTTGTTATTGTGAATGGTATGTCTTTTCCTTTCCCCCCTCTCGGTTGCTTTTTTCGGGTTTTTTTTGTTATGTGCTGATGAATGAGGCAGCTGTCGATTTCGAGTTCTACTCGTCCAACGGACTGGGAGCAATCCAGGGCCAGGGATACATCTATCGGAATCTCAACAAGTAAGTTTACTGTTGCAGTCATTCGTGCAGATCCGGGTGCTAATGAACAACTGCAGCACCGATCGCCCCCGGCTCGTGCGAGTCGTTTCGGCCATCAATGCCACCGTCCACGACTTGATCCTGGTCGACAGCCCTAAGTTCCACTTTGTGCTGGACTTTGGCGTGAACGTCGAGGTCTACCACTTGACGATCCGCGGGGCGAACCTGGGCAGTTACGACGGCATCGATGCTATCGGTACTAACTACTGGATCCATGACAATGAGGTTTGTTTTCTTGTTCAGCCCGTTCCCCTGCTTGCCTTGCTGATGATGTTCATGATGGGTAGGTCACCAACCGCGACGAATGCGTCTCCGTCAAGAGTCCCTCCCACCACGCCCTGGTCGAGAACCTGGTTTGCAACCAGGCCGGCTCGGGAATTTCCATTGGCAGCTTGAACGTCTCTGCCGAGATCTCCAATATCGTCAGTTCCCGCCCCATCCTTACTTGTTAGTAGGTCTCAGTATGAGCTTCCGCTGACCGAAGTGAAGGTCGCCAAAAACATCAGCATCATCCAAGGCAACAACATCGCCTTCATCAAGACTTACCCCGGCGGCTCCGGCTACGTCACCAACGTCACCTTCGAGAACTTCCGGTCCAAGGCCAGTCTGTACGGATTAAGCGTCAACCAGTACTGGCAGAATACCTTCGAGCCGGACACGGGAGCGGTGGCGTTGAGCAACCTGGTGTTCAAGAACTTTTCAGGTCCGTCGCTACCTCCCACTGCACAACTTTCCACAATTGTAGCCACCTATACCGGATACTAACGGCAAACGTAGGCTCCGTCGCCCAAGGCACCGTCCGCCCGCCCCTCTACCTCATCGCCAACGACCTCACGTACGCCACGAACGTCACGATCGAGGATTTCACCGTCTGGACCGAGACCGGCACCACCGTGCTGAACAAGATCAACAACGTCTTTGGTACGGGGGATGATTCCTACGGCGCAAACGACGGGATCAAGTCCCTCGCGCCCGGGGCAACCCCCACCACGTACACAAGCACGTACACCATCACGGCGTCGCCGACGGGGTGGACGGCCCCCGCGTCGCCGACCTGGGCGGTGCCGAGTACGGGCTATGGAAGTAAGTCTTCCCTCTTCTTCCAGTTCATTTAAGGCCTTTCCCCCCCCTTTGTGGGCTGGAGCAATGCGTAGTAAAGTTGGACGATAATGGCTAATCTGACGCCCCTGGACAGCTGCGTCGCCGATTCCGGTGTACACTCCCAAGCCGTTGTGGAGGCCTGGCGGTGTGGATTATGATCTGCACTACTGGGGGAGCTTTTAGAGGGATGAGACATGACTTCGGGAGTGTTCGAATTCCGGAGCATAGATCAATATAGAGAGAATCCACCCCGCGATTCGGTTGACGATACTCGGGGATGATTTCACTCTAGAATCACTAGAACTGATCGCTTTCTCTTGGAAATCTTCCGACTTGAACCGGCCCCTGCCGCGCTGCGTCGGCTCTCAGGTAGTGCCTCAGATAGCCTCACGTAAATAAACCGAATGCACCATTTATCCACGTTTTCCATCACCGTCCTTCCATTGGAACCGCAGTACATAGGGTATCCATGTTCTCTCACCAACACCATTGAGCTTGCTCCTATGCAGTCGCTGGTCGTCGATGCGCCGCTGGCCATCGGTGGACGAAGGCGGGGTAAATGGCCAAGCTCAGGTGACACCATAGAAGGTGTTTCACGTCCGGCTCGACGCCCTGGGAGATTGCATAGAGCCAGCAGAGGGAGGAGATCAAGATTCCGGTGACCGCGAGGCGGGCGACGAGGGGGCTGGAATTCATAGTTTCAGGAAATTATGATGCGATGGTGGGGGTGGAAAGATTGACTGGAAGTCTATAGACTGAAATGCAAAAGGGAGGAACGATTTTTGGGTCGTAGAAAACTTTGCTTAACAGACGTGTCCAGCTCGGGCTGCCGAACGTGGAGAGGAGACTCGCCGCCTAGATATTCGTCGGATATCGTGGGATGTTGTTATGTCTCACTATAGTTCTCTAGCTTCAAGTAGCCTCTCATTTAGCTTCTCGCAGTATCCTCGGCTTGCTGTCAACCCATACATGGACCCACTTTTTCCGAGCGATTTTCTAGCCCTTCAGAACGCCGTGTGAATCAGTAGAAGCACAGGATGAGCTGAGCTCTCGCTTTTCCAATCAACGACAGTCGAGTACCACTGGTCTAAAGGGTTTAGAGTCTTAATCCAAGGGCAAGTGTACAGTGCCTGGGTATATCGTTGAGGGTGTAATACGTGATGTTGTTTGTTAAGAAAGCACCAAAGGTTCACCTACAAGCACAAGCTTTCGTTGTTTTGATTTTGTTCACCTGGACTCAAGGAAGAGGACCCGCCCGATCTCAGCCCAGAGTTAGGGCTTGCGCCAACTCCGAGGTCCCTTTATCATCTTGCCCATTGCTCCTCGGCTCCGAATCCACCAAATCTTCCGCGTACATATAAAACAACTGGGATCCTCAATCTTGTCAACACCTAAGAGAACATCATTCGAGCGATTCTATAAAGATGGCTTCAACAAGTCAACTTCTTTGGTCAGGTCAACCCTTGACTATTCCAGTAAACTCATGGTTCATAGGTACTTCAGTCCCAGAGGGGCCCGGAACCTCACCGAACTCCGCCGAGTTTCGACGCTCCAATCCCTGCTGCCCCCACCGGCCACCGATTGACTGGTGACCATCGACCCTGAAAGAAGGCCAAGATGGCGCTTACTTAGGTGCTTACATGCGAGTTGTTCAAATGAACTCACCCTACAGGTTCAATGCCATCACCCTACAGGCGCAATGCCAAGCTGACTTCGCACGCCGCCAACCTATGCATTTTCCTGTTCGGGCTTGGAGTTTTCCCTCGACTATCATCTGACCCTTTAGCCCCTGCAAAGACTTTCTTTGTATGACTTGGGCAAGTAGATCAATCTATCACGGATGCGTGTTCTATCTCGACGCGCGATTGGCTCATGGAGGATGTAGGGGTTTGGGGTCTGGCAGTGGACCTAGAGGAGGGTCAATCCTTGCCATGCGTTGAGGTAATGGAACAACCATATGGACAGAACTGCCCTAGGTGAGAGCATGGCAGCAGCCCCATCGAATCAACCGTTAAGTGTTTGTTGAAATACAAAGCAGAGTCGTCGCGTGTTGAGAACAGGCCACAGGCTGAAACACCCTCAACTCGAGAGCAGACGGGAATCTCAATTCCTCTTGAATATAAACCGAAAATATCTAGAAATCACAGCCAAGAATACATTGCTTTCTCGCATTCATCTGTACAACCAACCCAACCCAAACCATCCCCACTACCACTTACTCCACCGTCAACCCCTCCACCCCCACCAACTCCGCCTCGCGATTCAACGCCTCGATCTCCGCCTTCGCAAACGGAATCCCCTCCTGCAGCCTCCTCTCGCGCATCTCCAACTCAATCTCACCGGGATAATAGATCCTGTCCACGCCCTGCATCTTCTGCCCCCCCACGACCCGCTGATACAGATAATCCATGCGCGCCTTAAACTCCTCCAACCCCATAAACAAATCCGGCTTGACGGCCACGATGAAATGCCCCACGTCCGCTTCACGGGAGGGATCATACGGGCCCGTCACATCCCCGGCGAACGCACTCCCCGAGAACACCCCGGAGAAGACATCCATCATGATGGCGAGCGCGGACCCCTTGGGCCCGCCCATGGGCAGCATCACCCCCTCCAACGCCTTGGCCGGATCCGTCGTGCGGTTCCCCTCGGCATCCAGCGCCCAGTCCTCGGGGATCGACTCCCCGCGGCGGAGCGCCTTGTAGATCTTGCCGCGCGCCGCCACGCTGGGGGCCATATCGAGGATGAAGGGCGGAGCGGTGCCGGCCGGCGCGCCGCACGCGATCGGGGACACGCCGAGGAGCTTCTCGCGACTGCCCCAGGCGGGTAGGGCGGGCGAGGAGTTGGTGAAGACCAGACTCATGAGGCCGGCGTCGACGGCCTGCTGCACCAGCCACGCGGACATGCCGAAGTGGTTGCTGTGTTTCACGGAGACGAGGCCGATCCCGAACTCCTGGGCCATGGCGATGGCCCGCGTCATGGCCAGGTGGGCGGCCACGAACCCGAAGGCGTTGTGGCCGTCGACCTGCGCCGCGACGGGCGTAGTCTGCGTCAGGGTGGGCACGGCGCGAGGGTCGAGCACCCCCTGGCGGATCCGCGCCATGTAGCTGGGGATCCGATTGCTGCCGTGCGTGTCGACCCCGCGCAGATCGGCGGCGATCAGGCAGTCGGCGATGGTGGTGGCGTCGGCGGCGGAGACGCCGTTGGCTGTGAGGATGCGGTGCACGCAGGCGGAGAGGGTGGTGTGGGGAATTTTGTGGAGGTCTGTCATTTTGGGCGGTTGTGTTTACGCGTGGTATGGTTTGTGGTTGACGGTCGGTTGAGGAGAGTAGGTGTATGTGTTCAACTGTGGTTAAGTACAGTACTTGGATGGATACTTATTTCAATGCTGCGAGTGAAATGGTCGGATCGTCCCCGCGCGGGCGGATGCCGTCCGAGCTCGGATGGCTTCCGCTGGGCTATGCGGCTTCTGATTGGCTACGGGGTACGGTATCGGCATTGCCTTCTGGTATACTACTCCCTAATAAGTACCTCTATTCCAGCCCTGCACTTTGGACAGTCATTATAAATCTATCCATGTCTAAATTTCACGCTCTCACGATCCCAATGTTATCTACAGCACAGCTCTGACCCTCTCCCCTCCCATCTCCTGCATCATCGACACAATCCTCTCCAGCTCCGGCGCCGACCTCGGCACATCATGTCCAGAGGAATGTACCAGCGACCTCGTCACCCCACTCTCACACAACTGAAACGCCCAACTTGACGCATCCCGCAGCCCCTTCGGCTCATTCCGTCCCCAGACATGCAACGTCGGGATCTGGACCCTCGCCGCCACGACGGGAGGATACAACAGCAGCGGCGTCTCCTCCACGGGCTTATCCAGGAAGAAGCCGCGCGGCTCGCGGGTGATCGGATGCACGCAGTCCAGCAAGCGACTGACGGCCGTCGTCACCGTGCGCAGCCGATCCGGCAACGTGTCCAGCTGCGCGTAGTCGCACGACCGGACCTTGCTCCACTCCTCCGGCCGCAGCCCGGGGTACAATTCCTCGGCAAAGGTGCGGTCGGCCGAGCAGGCGAAAATGCACGAGAAGAAGACGGCGAAGCGGAAGGGGTACTCCGCGGGCGCGGCGCCGACCGCCGCGAAGCCCTCCAGCAGATACGACAGGGCCACGGCGGCCCCGTGGCTGAAGCCCAGGACCCCGTCGAAGGGGCCCTGCGTGCGGATCGTGTGGTCGAGCAGCGTGTACGTGTCCCGGGTCTGGTCCGGGGACATGCTCCGGGCGTAGCAGTTGAACGGGCCGGGGAACTTCTTGGCCAGGCCTGTATTCGCGGTTAGTCTGGAGAATCAACATGGTAGATGGGGTGACTTGCCCACGGCGGGATGACACTCGGTCGGACCGCGCAGGAAGACGAACTTCCAGTCCGGGGGCGCGTGTTGGCGCAACCCCGCCAGTTGCTGGTTCATGCTGGCCGGGTTGGTGCCGTATCCGTGCAGGCAGAGGATCCTCATCGTGGCGGTGGTTTTCGGGGTCAAACAATCTCCCTGCGGTCACCTTGGGCGTCCTGGAGAGAAAAGCCTCGCAACCTTTATAAGTGCTGCGTGGCGAGACTTCAGCCCGGGTCGGCATGAGTTGCCATTTCAGCCTCTCCTGCAGCATCGGCTAAATTGGCCACCCAACTGTAGGCAAAAGAAGCGATACGAACGAGCTCAGCTGAGATCGACCTCATGCTTCTTCAGGTATACTCCATGGACTTTGGGAGTATCGATTCGTCGGCTTGCTGGTCAGATTGCCATCGACTCGTGTGCGACCGGTTTTTCTGCAGGCGATAAGCTCGTCCGCGTCAGCATCGTGTCAGACTATTGTTTGCCCAATGCTGTGGATTCCAAAGCATGACAAAAGCAGGCCAAAGGAAAAGAGAGCTGATGCGGTTTGATAAGAGTCGCATATGTTGATCGGGGTTGTCAGGCTGGTTGTTGTGTTGTGGGGGGATCAGCCGCACGGGGCCCAGTTGGCGGATCAAGTCTCCTCCCACTAAGCTTTCCGACCCAGACAGCGACCTGGTGGGGGATCCCGCTGGGTATGAGGGGTGTCCCGCCCGGGCAACTGGCAAATGAATTCATTGAACTTGTTGATATAGTAAGATAAAGGGGGCAAATCTAGCTTCTAGATGAAGAATACTCTTACGCCTGATATATGAAGCATTCAGATTGCATGCAAAATACTCTCCCAGACCAGCTAGATTATCTCTCAGCGACAGAATCCAAACAAACACCTCTGTTCACTGTTTTGGAGATCCACCTACGCATATCAACACCCGTTTATGCTTAATCGTGGTCAACCAGACCGTAAACCCTACATCCAATCCTCCAAATACTCAACAGAGGTTTGTCAGATCATCATAATAAGCGGCCAAAGAAAGAGTGTCCCCTCCCTCCTCTTCCCGTTACACTCCGACAAGCAGAAAAGATACAATACGCCCCCCAACCCCATCGAAGCCCGATCATAAATCCACATCTACTACAGAAGAGATCATCCAACAACCCCAGCCCACCCAGCCCAAACAACCACTGCACCTACCCAAATTCAACCTCAATCATACCCCAATCATACCCCAAAACCAACTCTAGAGCACTCACCCCCCCCCCCCCCCCCACGCGCCCAGATAAATACCCCGTAACCGAGCCTAGGGCACCCAGCCCATTCATCGCAACCCAATCCTCAATCCCTCATCATTAATTACCCCAATCCTAACCAAACCTCCCTCACCGCTGGGATCCGTATACTCTCCACATCCCGTCCACAAACTCAAGACGACCCCGCACGGCTGCTACTGCCCACAAAATGGTGTATGGTGTACTTACCTAGGGCTGAGATGCTTATCGACTACAGTTCTTTCCTGTTCTACACAACGGTGCTATTGCACCAGGAAGATCGCCACGACAGTACCAAGCACACTACTCCGTAGATCCGGACGACACAGATAAGATATCCCCTTGTCGGACCATAGTTGCATCTATACTGCTTATTTCCATTGGACCGCTACGATGGATGCAGTGGTAAGCGCGGACCCGGTATCTTATACCATACAGGGTGGTTAGCGGATGGGAGGTGGATGGTACCTATAGTGGTGATCTCTGTCGGAACGGGTGGGGAGGAGGGTTTGATGGGATGATGGGGATGGTGTTATGCATGACTTGTGCATAGTATTATGTCATTGTGCATGTGGGGAAGGTGGAAGGATTATGTGGAAGGATGTGGGGAGGAGAGGGAGGTGGATGTGGAGGGATGAGGCGAGGGATCTTGTGTTGGGTCTTGGTGTTTGCGCTTGAGGGTGAGTTGGTGAGGCGAGTATAGTGTTGTTACGGTTAGTTCATGAGGGTTCAATGGTTGCATTACAAAAGTGTTCATGGAGACGGGTATATTTTCTTGTATTCATAAATGTCAATAGTGCTCTGGACACGTAGACTGAAGCTGCTGAGAGGTATGAACTAGGCATTTTATTACAATTGAGGTGAAAGAAGAAGCACTTGTCTTGCGATAGAGCTTCATATGACTAGATCTTATCGCATTGATGTCCCAAATTGAAGTCTACGCTCAACCGTCGCCCTATCTTGCAACTTTCGCCTCACACGAGCGATTCCCGAGTCTAGATGGAAGACACGCAATCCGCCGCTAATTATAGTTCTCTAGGAGTTTGCCCCCGTGGTGCGAATAACTAAATGCTGACAGCCATGCTCAAAGACCCTCCAAAGCTAATCACGGCCAGTCAGCCTTACTGCGAGCATAGTGGGTCTTACAACTACGTACAATCCTATCGTCGCTGGCCCAGAATATACGTATACATCTACGGTGGTGATCCATTACCGGTCCCATTTCGCCCAACCTACACACACATCTGATAATGTAAATGCAATCAATTCTAGGTATCAATCAAACTCTATGAAAAATGCAATGCCCCGCTAAGATAGCCCATCACACCAAGCTGCTGCGCTGCCCATTTATTTGCCAAAGACCTTGAAGCGGTTCTCCAGCGGCGAGAAAGCCTTCTCGCCGGCCGGGGCGGTCGGGGTACCGAAGACCAGCTGGGCGTCGAGCTTCCAGGAGGCGGGGAGGTTCCACTGCTTGGCGACCTGCTCGTCGATCAGGGGGCTGTAGTGCTGGAGGTTGGCGCCGAAGCCCTCGGACTCGAGCGCGGTCCAGACTGGATGGAGGTTAGCGAGGCCCTTCAGGGAAGAATACAGGGTAACCTACTCAGGTACTGGGCCATGGCGTTGGACTCGAGCGCCCAGGGGTTGAAGTTGTCGGCGTAGATGGCGAACTTCTCCTTGATGGGGGCCAGGGACTCGTAGTCGACGAAGAAGAGGACCTGACGGTGTTAGTATGCGTCAAGTCGGCGAGCGACAGGTGGGCAACATACAGTGCCGTAGCCGTTGCGGAAGGCGTTCAGCTTGGGCTTGGTCTGGGTCTCAAAGGTCTCCTTGGGGACGTGGCCGGCGGCGACCAGGCCCTCGAGGGCGCTGATGGCGATGTCCCACAGCTTCTGGTGCTCCTCCTTCAGCAGGAGCACAATACGGCCAGTCTGGGTGTTGAAGGAGCTGGGGGTGTGGAGGACGGCGTGCTGGACGAGCTGCTCGATGGCCTCGTCGGCGATGGGGCTCTCGGCCTTGAGGGTGTAGATGGAGCGGCGGGCCTTGGCCGCCTCCAGGATGGCGGTGGTGGCGGGGTTCTTGAACTCAGCGGCGGTCATTGTGACGGTTGGTCGGGTGAGAAAAACAATTGAAAGGGTATCAAAAGTGCTGTGAGTGATCAATGATTGTGTTGAAAGGAAAATGAAGGGGAGCAGCGACGACGACACCACAACTATATAGGCGATCAAACCGGGCGACCGCCACCACATCTTGTTTTCTGCCGTAATTCCAGCCGAGAATTGTGTGCCTGTCCGGAATGCCGCCCCTCCCCTCCACCTCCCCCCCTGATCCCACGGATTATGCACCAGTTTTTCATCCCCCGGCCCCACCTTATTCAATGCTTATCAAATCGCGGAATCATCCCATGCTGGAACTATCGGAGTAGGTTTTTCCTTGGTCATCGCTGACTGACAACCCCTCCACAATCAGGCAGGATCCCGCAGGTGGAACCTTCCAGACACCCGATCTCCCCACATGGAAGTGCAGACAGAATCGAAGGGAGGTGAATTGGCGCATAGGAATCGATAGATGGTGCATACTCATACATTAGTTGTAGATTATCCAATGGTGGCCAGCCTACCAGGCTTGGTTAGACTTAGGCTGAGGGAAAAGTCCGTCCGATGGCTGCTGCCTGAGGCAGAGATGAATGTCCGT